CAGCCGGCACGAGGACGTGCAACTGCGTGCCTCCCAGCATCTCCTTCGGTTCCACCCGAGCAGTGCCTGTGCAGTGCTTCTCACCGTGTCTACCAGTCCTGGGAGGGGACATGCTGTGGTTTCCAGCTCTCACCCCGCACCCTCACCTTCACCTGTGCATGGCACAGTCTTCGTCCCGCGTGGGGAGACTCAGGAGAGGGCTGTCGGTCCTGCACCGCGCGTGTGTCTCTGGCTGCCGGGCCATTTGTGCTTCCTGCAGGCCACACTGTGACCTCTGCCCGCTCTGGTCCTCCCTGGTACTTTCACCTGCAGCCCCTCTGCTGCGTGCATAACAGCCTCGGTGGTGGCTGCAATTCATATTTCCCCACAGCTGGTGATGTCGAGCACCTCCGTGATGCTCCGTGATGTGCCTTTTGCTCCTGATTTCAAAGTCCTTTGCACACTTGTGTGTATGTGTGCCACACACTGGGGGCTTAACCCTGGCTTCATGCATGCTAAGCACACACTTTACCTCAGAGTCATGGCCCACCATTGTAAATGCTCAATTAACAGAAATCTTTAAGAGCTTTAATGAAGTTGCCCTGATGCATATTTAAAGCACACAGTTTATTTTTGGACTCAGGACAGAAGGGGCGGGTGGCACTCGGGTTCCTGCCCCACACCTGGGCACGGTGCAGACCCCATCCCACTGCACGGCCCCAGCAAGCAGAGCACCTTTCTGGGTGGCACCCGGGCAGGACAGCGCACCAGCCCTGGCAAACGCACCTGCCCCTGCCGCTGGGCCAGGGCCGCAGCACTGCCACCTGTTACCCCTCTGAGCTCGAAGAGCTCTGCCTGGGGAGCCCCCAGGTTACACTGAGTCCCCAGCCTCTTCGTTGGGCTTTCTCCAAACCACTTCCCCGCTCTGCCTCCCCTCCCGGGCACTTCTGGTTCTTCGGGTGATGCGGTGCCTGGGAACCTCACCGTGCCCCAGCCTGGGGCGCCCGGGAAAACACTGCGCTAATTAGAAACCTAGCCAGGCCTGGTGGCACACGCCTGTCATCCCAGCTCTCAGGAGGCTGAGGCAGGAGGATCACTGTGAGTTTGAGGCCAGCCTGGGGTGCATAGTGAGACTCTGCTCAAAAAAAAAGGTGTGGGGCCGGGGACTTAGCTCAGCGGTTTCACCGCCTGCTGCGCAAGCGCAAGGACTTGAGTTCGATCCCCGGTACCAAAAAAAAAGAAAGCAATGTGTCCAGCTAAGCCTTGAAACACCAGTGCTTGGTCCCTTTGCCCTCAGGGGTCACCATGCCGCAGGTGGCTCCTCGGGGACAGGGACCTTGGTGAGATTTCTCAAAGGCAGGGCCTGCAGGTGCCCTCCTCTGCCCCTTGGAGGAAGGGCCTGGGCTCCTTCAGGGCCCTCAGCCTCACAGAGGCCCTGCCCAGCCCAGGAGGGCCCTTAGGGGACACTGGGCAGAGTGGCAGTGCCCCCGGCCCGTCCACTGCAGGCTCAGCCAGACGCAGCCTCCTCCAGGAAGGCCTCCCGCCATTGGCGTCCAGGACCTGTCCACAGGTCTGTCCCCTGGCAGGGAGCCGGTCTTGTCCCACCTGGCCTTAAATGTCTGTGATCAGCTAACGCTGCAGGACACCAAGGGCCAAGACCAGCTTAGTTCCCTCGAGATCTGGCCTTGTGACAGCCGCACACAGGAAGTTCAGGAACCCGGGGCCAGGCGTCTCAGGGGAAAGCGGCTGCTCCTCCACGCTGTCTCAGGTGAGCTCGCCCTCGGCTGTTTCTGGGGACTGCTGCACTTAGTGCTCCACGCATTTCTGGCTGCTTGCTGAGGCCTTTGGCGCCCTCAGAGAAGGAAAGGGAGGCTCAGAGAGGGCCAGCAACTGGCCAGGCTCGCACAGCCTGGAAGAGCAGATGTGGGGCTTGCTGCCCATGTGGGCATGTGGCTGTGACCTGTCCCCGTCCGCCTCTGTGTGACACAGAAGATGCAGGACTCAGACAAGGGCCTGGCACCGGACAAGACCGCCCTAGGGGCAGGGAAAGGACCAGGGTGGCGGGGTGAAGAGGGCACCGCTGCAGAGAGCAGGCCACGGGGGCCAGGCTGGGGATGGTCGAGCCTGAGGCACGAGCTGGGGAGACAGCGCTGTGCTGTCACCGCACCGCTCCGTCCCCACCCCTTCCGTCCTGAATTCTGAGGCAGGCTCCTGCCAAGTTCCTGGGCTCGGCTTGAACTGGTGATCCTCCTGCCTCAGCCTCCTGGAAGGCTGGGGTGACAGGCGTGTGGCGCCAGCCGCGCTGTCCTCTTGTTTCTCTTCTTCGGACTTCTAACTGATTCGGAATGTGTGTGCTTAGTGGAGCCGCAGTGTGGTAAGTGCCACACATTCACGCGGTGTAAGGGCACTGGCGATGTCCTTTCCGGCCCTCTGTCTCTCTCTCTCTCCTGCGGGGAGCTGCAGCCTGCCCGGAAGACCCGCTTCTCCAGCAGCAGAGTCTCCCCAAGTCTCCGCTTTCCCCCCTGCCACTGAGCCTGCTGCATCCCCAAAGGCCGGGGTTCCTGGAGGAGGTGGGGTGGAGCCCCCAGCCTGAGTCCTGCTCAGCCACCTCCTGTTCCTCCATTCACGCATCCAGCCAGGCCCCCACTCATCCACCTAACTGTCCACTCCCCACTGCAGCCCGGGCTCAGAACCTGCCCCCCCCCGACGCCCCGCCCATCCAGCCGCTCATCCTGCCGCAGCAGGTCACGGCAGAGCGCTCCCGCCTGCCCACCCGCCCACCTCAGGCTCTCTGTGGAGAGGGGTGATGGATGGAGACAGGATTAGCCCAGCTTTGGGGGCCCTGGCGGTGCCAGGAGCAAGCAAGCGCATTCCAGGAAGGCTCCTGCTGAAGGATGCCTGGGGAGGGAGGCTGGGCGGGCGGGTGGCCCGTGGGGCGGGGATTCCTGGGATTCCTGGGGCCGCAGTGCCACTGAGGGACAGGGAGAGCCCGGCCGGACCTCTTCCGTCCATCCGCACCCAGCCCTGGGAGTCTTATCTCTGCTCTAATCACTTGCAGCTGCAGCCTCAGGAAGCTGTGCGCCTGCCTGGCCGGCTTCCTGCTGGGTGGGGAGTGCTGGCCCTGCCCAGGGCACAGTGGCGACCCCCGGGCGGGAGGGATGCTGAGTGCTCGGCACCTGGGCTCCACCGGGGTCCCTGGCAGAGCCTGCTCCACACCCACAGCCACCCAGTGTTTCACATTCAGAGTCCACCTCAGGGTCTCCTGGGCCTCAGTTTCCCCAGTGGCAGAAACTACAGGTTGGACACAGTGGTCCCTGAGGGCTGTGCTGGTCCTGCTGTCCTGGGGCTTGTGGGGCCCCCCTGGCCAGCGAGGACAGGCAGGGGCTGGGGATCAGGGCAGAATTGGGAACCGGGGAGCTTCAGGGAGCTGGAGGGAGGGAGGCAGCGCATCAGAAGGCTGGGGCACTGTGGAGGCTGGGTCGTTCCCGGTTCCCTGCTCGGCCACAGCTCCAGCTGTGGGAGCTGGTGCCAGTGACTCCCGGACCTCGGCTTCCTTACGCGCAGCGGGGTCCGTACAGTGTGTTCTCCTGGCTGTGGGGCTGGGGAGTCTCCTGCTGCCTCCCCTGGCCTGGCTGACCTTGCCCCAACTTATGCCAGTGTCCGGCTGGGTGGAGCTCTCAGGGTCTCTGCAGGGTTCAGACAAAGGGGAACCAGGGGCCTAGGGGGCCCCAAGGCTGCTCAGAGGGAGCTCTTTGTGGTTCTTTTCCATGAGGACTTTGTGTAGTGTCAAAATGTGGCCTCATTGTCACGATGATGATGATGATGACGATGACGATAACGATTTGCAGTACAGGACTGAACACAAGGCCTTTGCACTGAGCTGCATCCCGAGCCCTTTATTTGTTTCTTTCTTTTCAGACAGGGTCTTGCTAAGTCACTAAATTGCCCAGGCTGGGCTCAAACTTGAAATCCTCCTACTTCAGCCTCCCAGCACAGGTGGGTGACAGTGCCAGGTGTGCACCGTCATGCCCGGCCATGAATTGCCAGGCTCATTCCAGCCTTGTAGCTAATGCTGCGTGGGCACACCTGTGCATACACTTCCCATGTACACAAACCACGGCGTACGGTGTGCTGGGCCCAGCTGCGTCGTTGACCTGCTGCCTGCTACCAAGCCATCACCGTGCACCTCTCCAAAGTGTCCATCATGCTGATCTGTTCTTCCTGGAGCAGGAAGCCAGGATGGTGTGGGTGGGGGACACAGACCCTGCCCAAGGATTCGCTGGAAAACCCCTGGTGTCCTTGGCACTGACCCCATCAGGGCTTCCTGGACCTCACTGCGCTGCCCAGTGCTGTGGGGACCCGGCTGTCCCCATGACTTCACCTCCTCTGCTGTCCTCCTTCCTGTCCAAATCAAATGTAAACAAAACCTTTGCCAGCATTTTCTCTAGGGAGCAGGAGCAGAAGCAGGAAAGCTAAAATGAGCGCCACGCCTCTGGACCTGTCGCCGGCGAGGGTGACTCAGTTTCCAGTTGCACGTGGTGCACTCTCAATAGAGGTCACTGACCCCAGCCTGGGGCCTCGTGCAGCGCTGGACAACAAAGCACCGTGGTTTGGAGCCTGCTGGGCTGGGTTTGGACCCTGGATTTGAGCACCACTAGCTTCAGACCGGAGGATGGCCACATGAACTACTCTGGTCTCCAGGTGGCAAATCCCACTTCAGGAGACAGCGCGTGGACAGGCTGACCAAGCATTGTTCCTGGCTGGGTGTGGTGGCACACGCCTGTGATCCCAGCACGTGGAGGCTGAAGCAGGAGGATCGCCCCGAATTCCAGGCCAGCCTGCCCACATTGTGAGTTCAAGGCCAGCCTGAACTACATAGCGAGACCTGGTCTCAGCAAACAAACAAACAAAAAGACCCCCCCAGATATACTGTTGCTCGGGAGGCCCTGGAAGACAAGTTGCTTAGTCACTTTCTTGCTGCTAGAACAAAGTACCCAACAACCACAGCTTAAGGAGGAGAGGTTTATTTTGGCTTATGCTTCAGTCCACAGTTGGCTGCTTCAAGGCCAGCTGGCCTGGCAGAGGGGCCTGGCGGAGGAGAGCTGCTCATCACGGTGGATAGGAAGTGGAGAGAGAGGGTGGAGCCAGGAGGGAGATAAACTCTTCCAGGCCCCGCCCCAGGCCACCTCTTTCACCAGGCCCCACCTGCAAAGCTGAAAATTTGGTGGGACTGTTTAGATCCAAACCCTAACACCAGTTTAAGCCAGCTTCCCTGAGATTCTGTAAAGAGAAGCAGAGAAGCACCCTGGCCATTTTTCCTGCCCTCCCTATGCACAGCATTGGAACTTCCTGTTTAATGCACAGCGCGCCTGTATTTAAAGTCTGCTGGCTTGAAACAGTGCTGTGTCACCAATCCGTCTGAAGTCAGCCTGTCCAGCGTAGGTGAGAGGTGAGTGGTCTGATGACAGCATTCCCTGGGGAGATGGAGCCCAGAGAAGGAATTCTGGCTGTCCAACGGAGTTACTTCCCCAGCCCGTTTTTCTGTCCTATTTTGAGACAGGATCTTGCTATGTTCCGTAAACTAGGCTCAAGCTTGGGACCCTCCTGCCTCAGCCTCCTGGAGTGCTGGGACAGCTACATGGCACCATGCCTGGTTCAGGAACTTACTCCTGTTTCCGCCTCCTTATCCTGCATAACCTTGGCTTGTCCTGGTCCTCAGTCTCCACCTTGATGTCCCCGCCCTGAAGTGTCCCATGTCCGCTTAGACTTCGTTGCTCACGGCCGGGCTCCCATGCCTAGTGCTCGAGAGTCTCTGAGCTGAGCCCGAGGAGCCCACTGTGTAGACTCATCTGAGGGTCCGAAGCAGGAATCTCTCACCTCCAGACCTCATCATTGCCCTGGAAGGAAGCAGAGATGACCAGCAGAGCAGCTTCCACAGGTACATGCTGATTTTCCCGGAGCAGGCCTCAGACTCAGGGACTTTTGTCGGAGTTTGGTGGTGTAGAATTATGGCCTGGCTCCCTCTGGAAAACACAGCTTCCTTCTCTGTTGGTGCGAATAGGGGTTCAGGAGCAATTGGGGCTCGGGCGTGGTGACACACACCTCTTATCCTAGCACGCTGGGAGGCTGAGGCAGGAGGATTGAGCCTGGCAACTTGGCAATTCAGCAAGACCCTGTCTCAAAATTTAAAATTTTAAAAACGTGCTAGGCATATAGCTCAGCGGCAAAGCTTTGGGTTCAATCCCCAATACTGAAAAAATTAAAAATTTAGAGGGGGTGTTGTTTCTGACTTCTAATGCATGCAAATGGCACCTGGCTGAACCTCTGTTTCCTTATCTGTAAAATGGGGACAAAACTTACCTGCCCCGTGGAGCTGCAGGGAAGATTAAGCGAGATTTGATGGTAACCACTGGATGGCCACCTGGTGCACAGCAAGTTCCGGGGGTTGCTGAGGGATCGCTTTTACGATGTCTCCGGGCTTGAAGGAAAAAGTCAATTTGGAGATTTTACATGGGGCAGGAATCAGAGCAGTGTTTGACTGTGCAGGGACAGATGAAGGACCGAGCGGTGTCCTCCTCGGCTCTCCACCCCTGACACCTGAAGGCCAGGCAGCCGGGAGCTGTGAGCTCTGGGAGGTGGGTGCCTGCCTCCTTCCCTGTGTCCCCAGGAGTCAAGCAGGGGCCGGGCGGACCTGGCTTCTCTGGGCATCAGTTTCCTGACGCAAAAAGCTGAGTTGATGCTCTGGTTTAGCTCTAGATGTCCCTCACGAGCTTCATGCACTCATAGGCGGGGCTTTTGGAAGGTACTGGGTGACCCGGGTTTAGAGCTGCCCGCCGTTAGAAGGCGGGGCCTGGTGGAAGGGGCGGTCCTGGGGCGTGGCCTGGAAGGTTCATCTCCTCCCGGGCTCCTCCCTTCTCCCCACTTCCTGTTCGCCATGCCGTGAGCAGCCTCCCTCCGCCAGGCCCCTCTGCTGTGCCACCCGGCCTTGGAGCAGCTGACCATGCCCTAAAACAAACCTCTCCTCCTCACGCTGTTGGCATTTGGTATTCATCCCAGCAACGAGAAGGAAAGCCACTAAGATGGGGAGACTCTGCCCTGTTGGCTTCCAAGACAGTTGTGACTTCCCAAGGGACACTGGTTTTCAGGGCACTTTGGGAACTTCAAGTACCGTCAGGCCCTGGGGCTGAGGACGGGAAAGGCCTCCGCAGACGCTGGCTGCCTCCCCGCTGTGGGTGTCACTGCCGGCTTCTCTGTCCTCTTGTGGGTGTGGCCTTCGGTGGCAGCTCATGTCCACCGTCGTCCTCAAGTCCCCTGCTGGCCCTGCCTGCCCAGACCGCTGCCTGGGGGCCACGTTGGAGGACATCCCGGCCGCCCTAGGGAGCAGCCACCAGGAGCAGCGGGGGCCTGGAACCTGGTCACGGGGACTGGGTGTGGGCTCTGTGGACAGGGCTCGGCCCACGGTTCCCAGGCGCCCAGATCGGCCTCCACGCAGAGCAGCCAGCACCACCGCCTGATGGTCTTCTGACCCCTCTGCCTCTCAACGCTACGTGCACATTACCCCAGCATTTTACTTCCTGGTGTGCAGTCAGGGAGTAGCCACAGCACACCGTCCAAAAATAATATTTTTACTGTCCAGCAGCAAAACACAATATCCATTCTCATCGTTTTTGGATCCCTGGCAACCACTCACACACTCTTATTCAGGACAATGTAACAATCTGACTTCTATTTTGGGCCCTAAATTCTTTTGTCCCTTCCAGCAAAGTGCGAAATATTCGTTTCCTGGCCGTAGGACAGTGGCTGCTGGCAATGGAGAAATCATAACAAACAGGAGACAGAGCAGGTGGGGGTGCAAGCCTTGAGATCCCAGCCCCTTGAGATAAACAATAAATAGCTGTCAACAACTGCTTAGTGACAGTGGGTGGGTGGCATTTTCTGGTATTTTTTTCCAATCAGGAAGGTGTGATTTCAAAGGTTGTCCCTAACTCACCCCATGGACCTCACTCCCTCTGAGCTGTTATGTCACTTTGGCTTAAGTCACTGCCTCTCTACATAACATGCAGGAACACAAATAAAGAGCAGAAAGGCAGCAGGATTAACCCGTGTCTGAGTCATGGTTTCCGGCACTTGGAAAGTGCCAAACATTGTGGAATCCAGCAAACATTTGATGAAGAAATGAATGATCAGAGGACGCTTCAAAGAAGAGGAAAAAAACCAACCAAACAACAACAAAATAATTAGCCAGGCATGGTGGTGCACACTTGTAATCTCAGCACTCAGGAGGGTGAGGCAGGAGGATTGCTGTGAGTTTGAGGCCAGCCTGGGCTACATAGTGAGTTCAAAACCAGCCTAAACTATATAGTGAGACCTTGTGTCAAAAAAACAAACAAGCAAACAAACAAAACAAAAGAAGAAACAACACAAAACTCTCTTTGAGGTTAAAGGGGGTGGCTGTTGGTCAGGCAGAGGGGTCACCTTGTAAGAAACTGGAGACCGAAAGTAGTGACCACTGCAGTTCCATATGGCTTGGGTGTATGGCGTGAGGTAGGGATTTCATGGTCTTTAGCTGCACTGTCCTGGCTGCCTCAGTGTCCTGAATGGATTCATAACGAGTCCTGTCATGGTCATTGTGACTTTGGGGAAGAGCCAGGAGTCACACGGTGCCAGATCCGGTGACTAAGGCGGATGAGGATGCAGCATTGTGTGTTTATGAGCTGCCTTTCTGCTGGATGGCGCTCGGCAGCAGCAGACACTGTATTTTGATCACAGCTGGTAAAGACCCTCAGGAAGGAGGACTCCAGAGCTGCTGCAGAGGACGATGGGATGAGTGTGTGTGAAGGGAGGAGCAGATCTGGAGGGGATTCGTGGCAGTGTGTCTTTCACTGTCATACAGTTTTACATAAACAGTCACCTCATGTTGTGATCACGCCCCATGCCTCCCTTCCCATGTCCCCTGGCAGAGAGGCCCCTGGGTACTCTGGATACTAGAGTCCCTCCTACC